GTTCCAGGGAAAGAAATTCTAGAGTCCATTCCAGTGAAAGAAATTCCAGAGTTCGGTCCAGAAAGAGAAATCCTAGAGTCCGTTCCAGAAAGAGAAATCCCAGAGTCCGTTCCAGAAAGAGAAATCCCAGAGTCCGTTCCAGAAAGAGAAATCCCAGAGTCCGTTCCAGAAAGAAAAAATCCCAGAGTCCGTTCCAGAAAGAGAAATCCCAGAGTCCGTTCCAGAAAGAGAAATCCCAGAGTCCGTTCCAGAAAGAAAAAATCCCAGAGTCCGTTCCAGAAAGAGAAATCCCAGAGTCCGTTCCAGAAAGAGAAATCCCAGAGTCCGTTCCAGAAAGAGAAATCCCAGAGTCCGTTCCAGAAAGAGAAATCCCAGAGTCCGTTCCAGAAAGAGAAATCCCAGAGTCCGTTCCAGAAAGAGAAATCCCAGAGTCCGTTCCAGAAAGAGAAATCCCAGAGTCCGTTCCAGAAAGAGAAATCCCAGAGTCCGTTCCAGAAAGAAAAAATTCCAGAGTCCGTTCCAGAAAGAGAAATTTCAGTCATTATCACGTGACCTATGGCATCAGTTGTGTTGTTTTACCTCCATTCATAAATCCTCTCCCGTGGCCTCATGGGATAGTAAAGTGTCCATGGAATGTGCACTTCAGAATTTTGCCTGAAGAAGTAGGTCATCCTACTCTTTTATCAGTACTGTGAACTTGGACATTTCTTTTGTCACATATCGTTTATAGCCTACTATTGTAACGTGGCTGTTTTAGTTGAGACAGGGTGTAGAATCCAGATGCAGTATGACATTTATTTAAACAAAACAACAGAAGTAAATCCATGCAGGCAGAGAACAACATGAATCCAGGTACAACAACTATAGTAGGGAAGTATGATTCCCCTGATCTTAAAAAAACACACTGCAAAGTTCCACTTTATCATCATCACACAAATAAACCTACCGTATTTTCCGCACTATACGGCGCACCGGATTATAAGGCGCACCTTCAATGAATGACCTATTTTAGAACATTTTTCATATATAGGGCGCACCGGATTATAAGGCGCATAAGATACTGCAGTCAAACGTTTGACTGGGTTTGCGTTATGCATCCACTAGATGTCAACAAATGTCAACAAAAAAGTCAGATAAAGTAAAACTTTATTAAGCGTTCTGACAACTCCGTTAACTCCCATGGTAACGTTGTTCAAACGTTAAAGGAAAACTCCGGTCAATTTTAACATTGAGCTCATTTTTTGTAAATTTGGAGTGCTGTCAGTACAGATAACAACGACAAAAACCAGTGTTGCCTACACCGTGTTATCCTCTTTTTAAAATTTGCACCCTGTTGACTTAAACGGGGCAAGTTTTAAACCTGCTTTTAGCCTCTTAACAACCTTAATGTGTCATTACAAGTGCACAGCCATGTGAGTGAACACGGTGAATCTGACTGCAGTAAATGTGAAAGATATGAATAAAAATGATGTTTATTCAGCCAGCTCACATACCCGTATTTTCTTCCTGTTTTCGGTCGAAGTCCACAGTGGGCGATTGTCGAGTGCGCGCGCGATCATTGGTAACTAAGCAACAGTGGAGACTCAGACTGTCAGCCGATGACGGTGCTGTGTGGTGTTCTGAGAATATCAGCTCAAATGGATAGTTCATCCGGATCAGATGTTGAACACACGAAGGAGGTTTGATCGCTCGCGCGAACTCGACAATCGACTACTGTGGACTTCGGCCGAAAACAGGAAGTAAATACGGGTATGTGAGCTGGCTGAATGTTAAAGAGATTATTCCTGCCTTCGTTAAAGCTCGGATCACAGTTGAGACTGATATATCAGCCCAGGCATCCACGATCCATTGGCAGATAGTGGCGTAAGTCGCCCGGCGCTGTCTCCACGTCTTGGTGAGCGTGTGTTCCCCATCCATATATAAGGCGCTCCGCATTATAAGACCCACTGTCGTTTTTTGAGAAAATTAAAGGCTTTTAAGTGCGCCTTATAATGCGGAAAATACGGTAGTTTCCTTGCTTCTTGGTTCATTTGAGGTAACAATAAATTTAAAGTGTTATTTTATGATATTATTATTAAAGATTTATTTTAAAGTGTGACAAATGAATGAAAGCGACTTGGACCAGAACTGAAACAGTAACACCTTCTGTTATTATTCTGTTATTTTCCTGTCTATTACTGTAAAGCTTTGAAACCATCTGTATTGTATTGCTTAACTTGAGGCGAACTAATTATTTCTGTTTCCTGTGCAGACTTTAAGCCGGGCTCAGACTACAGGAGTTTAAAATCCTGACCAATTATGAAATCTGGTTGCATTAGGAACATAAGGACAATCTTTACTTCTCCAGCGAATGTATCTTGATTTAAGAATGTTTAGATATTTGTGCTGGAAAACGAGACAAGAAAGAACATTATTTGCACATTGCATGATGTGGCAAAAATGTTAAAACGCATTTCTTACATTCACTAAACATTTTTAAAAATAACTAGTACATCTAAATCAGGTTTAATGTGTTTAGACGTCGCAGGTATGAAGTGTGTTTCTGTTTCCTTTACAATGAAACTCTGAAACACCTGTTCTTCTAAACATGTTTCACTAATGATGATGATGGAAAGAATCTGTGGTATTTTATTCATGTTATCTTGTTGTCCAGGTCTGATCACTCAGTAACAGCACATCTCTCCTCCACAACACACACGGAGTGAATCCTATACAACATCATCATCATCATCATCATCATCATCATCATCATCATCATCATCATCAGTCAAATATGTTTAGAAGAATCAGGGAGTCACTTTATAGGAAACAGAAACACACACATTAACACACCTGTGATGGGCGTTTACTCCCAGAGATGATTAGTGAAAGAAAGGTATGACGCTGTATGCAGGAAAAAACTGAGAATTTGAGAACTACATTTCCACTAAAAGTTTGAAAATATAAAATAAAAATACTCTAAAAATAAAAAGGCCTATATACTCTCACAGCAAAACACATCAGCGGTTTTATATCATTGTAAAATGACACTTGTTTATTACTATGTTTGATGTAACATTATCAGTTAATTATATCCTGTGAAGGTTGAGATGGGTGGCAATGCTTTGGTCGTCACGGAAACATCACCCCATGCTTTGGTCGTCATGGAAACAACATCTCATGACCGGTTGGAGCAGTGGTTAGTAACACTGGTTTATTTCCCAGACTCCTCAGTGCTGCATGTGAGATCATCACTGCCCTCTGCTGGCGGATCTGAAGTAAAGGCAGAGCTTGAGTCATGAGGAATACAGTGTTCCTGAAACTCTTCACAGCTCCACGTCAGCATCACATAAATCAACACGTTATATTTACATATATTTGCAGAAAGCAGAATGATTGTCTTTATATCCGTTGAACAGAGACACAGATGAAATGATGGGATGATTCTCGAGACTCGTGTGTGTTTTGGTTCAAGTTGGTGTGATTAATCGCTAACAGTGAGTATTAAAGACATTCATAACTCTTTATTGTTTGCCTACAGCTGCCTTAAAGTCCATCGTTCAGTTTGTTTACTGTGAACAAATCCCCAACTCGCCACAACAATCTCTCCTTACCGTCTGGGTCCGGTCTTCGGTCACGTGTGGATATACTGTACTTTTTTAACGCAAATGCAGACTTTATTCACTGTAATGCAGACTCCCTAATACAGTATAAGATGCATGATGTACTTGTTTTGAATTCTCTTTAGTCATATTTTCAGAAATGCAAACTATTTGGATGGCAAACCCATGAGCCCATAGTTTATTACAGGCTTTATTGAGTCGAGCTCATCTGAGCTGTAAATCTTATCTGACTAATCATGCAGGAGAATAAAGATAAATCCATGGCAACACTGATTGGCTGATGGCGGGTGACCAATAGCAAGTGTCTGAACAAGCTGAGAAAATAAACCTGAGGGACACAATTATGCTTAAAACATGAGCATTTATTCTCCCCAAAGAGCCATCATACAGTAAATAAAAGGAATGCTGCAAAATGACAAAAATAGAGCCAAATTGAAACGTTTATTTAAATGTTTACAATAGCAGATTACACACATTCTCATTTTAGACAATATACCCAATTTCCAAAAAAAATCTTCCCAGTTTTTTTCCAATTTTTTTCATTTCCAAAAGAAAAAGATGCAAAGAATTTTTCAGAAGGTTTCCAGCGAGCTTCTCTTTCAAGCTCCGGCTGAATGCATCATCCACTGATTTATCCCACCAAGGAAAGAAAACGTCTTGCAGATAACTGCAGATTTCTGCAATAATATTTGCATAATCATCAATTAGAAGATCAGATATTTCTTTGGTATATTTCTCAAACATTTCTAAACCATATTCATGAAAACCAGTAGAAGTTTTGAATAAATCTGATTTTTGAGTTTTGAACAAATTTTGGACAATTATATTAAGTTGTTTCTTAATTTCAGAATTGGATATTTTTGAAAAAAATTGCTTAAGTTTGAGTTCCGGTTTGGATTCATTACCTTCCATTAAAAACGTTTGATTTTGAACTTCTGAAATAATTTGTCTGTAAACTTCGATTAATTCCTTGTCATCTTCTCTATCATTGTTGTTTTTTTGGGAAGAAGTTCTAATCTTTATATCTTTGCTTCTGATTGTTTGGGTTCCAGAAGTGCAAATACAATCTTTAATAGAAGGCACGTTTTTCTCACACGAGCCACTGAGACCCCAGGGTTTAAGATATCCAATAATTGTTTTTATGCCATGCTTCTCATGTAATATATATGCTATAAAGAAAGCCTGGATCATGCAGGGCACATGGTTGGGTCTTGCTAAACATGGGCTATTTGTAGAGTAGATATAAACTTCTGAAAAATCACAGTTACTTTCATAATACATTTCTAGTAGTAGTTTAAATATTTTATCTTCAGTATGCTCTCCTTTTAAGAGGTAATGAACTTCAGTTCTACTCTTGTCCAATGATCCATCTTTTTTTCTAAATAATACAAAAGCAAATTGTTTTTTTGATTTCTTTGCTTCTTTTGCTTTTTCATCGAGATTATTGAAACATTCATTAAAAATGTCATTATGATTTGCTTCTAAATAAAAATATTTGTAGTTCTTCATAATATTTTGAATTTGATATAAATATTTCAAGGATTTTTTTCTGTTACACAAGTCTCTATAAATGATGTGTGAATCAATCATTTTTATGATAAAATCTCCATCATTCATCTTCTCCCACGATTCAGTTCTGGAAATTGCTCTATTTAAAAAAAGAAGAACAAAACGATGAACAATAAAACAAATAGCAGAATCTTTATGTAAATGTTACACTTAATCATGCTCTTAACATTTTCCCTTCCACTTTGATATTATATATTACTTTATTATAATAAATAGTGTTAAACCACAGTCTCTTGGGTCTAAGACTTTATCATCTGACCTAATTTAGGTAGACAAACAAATGTAAAACATATTTGCCCGTAAAAAACACAGTTTTACATACTTTTAAACACTTACAAAATATGTCTACATGTAAACTTACCCATTAGTTATAATTAGTTGATAGTTTTGGAAATCAGGAGGATCTTTGGAGTATTTTCTGGAAAAAGTAAAGGAATAAAAGGTAAAACATTTTTCATCTCCATGGAAGGATTTACATTTTAATGCAATCCATATTTCATATTTCTCTTAATAATTACGCTAAAGTCACTCATCAACAGTCTCTGTGTTGCTGCTCTAGTAAAACTAGATAAACGAACTGAATCCTGACACAGGCACTGCATTCATTTTCCCCTCAAAAGGGTCGCATTCACAAAAAAGCTTAAGACTCACTGTTTTAAAACGTAATAGTAACAGCAGCACATGATGAAGCAGCGAGTAAAGCAGTGAACGTGAACATCAGTTTAAGTACTTACAGAGAAATCTGGTCAGAGCTCGGTATGACGCGAGAGTCTTCTGGTGAAGAACTCTATATAGGAAACCAGGAGTCAGAAAAAAGAGAAATTATCAGAAATCATAAGCACTGTAATCCTCAATCAGAGCCACGCCATATTTTTATTTTATTTTAGCAGTACCAGGAGCCACCAAGAACAAAATCTAGAAGGATTAACCCTCTGGGGTCTGAGGTGTTTTTGGGGCCCTTGAGGTGTTTTGACATGCCCTGACATTTGTGCATATTTCAGCTACTTAAAACATACCATTTGCCAACATATAAATTTGCTGTATTCAGCACAAACTCTGCTACAATAATATGTGACCAAAATGGATGTACATGTTTGCATTTTATAGAAAAAAAATATTATGCGTGGTTAGTACGTTTTGGGAAAAAAAATGTCACCGCAATAAAGCCATTTAACACATACTAAATAATTGTCCACAAGACTTTTGAGTTACTATTCTTGTAGGCTAGAATTTTTACTTCAAAATGAAGTGAAAATCATTCTGACCACTCTTTCACAAACAACAATATAACAAATTTAATTTCTTACGTCAGTTTTTGGTCATCACTGCTGTATGCGTGGTAGTGTGAATGGCCATGAATATTAATGAGATTTACACCTGGGAAGACTAAAGACACTCCCCCAATGGCTAATGGCCCAAGGTGCTGTGAGGCAGCCTGAACTAAGAATGATTCACTGATGAATAAAAAGTTAAAAAGAACAGCATTTATTCAAAATAGAAATCTTTCCTAAGAACATAAAGACTTAACCCTCTGGGGTCTGAGGTGTTTTCTGGGCCCTGGAGGTGATTATAACATGGCGTAAACGCAGGATCAGAGCCTATGAAGAGTCATGTGACAAGGAGAGGTGAACGAATCAACTCTTATTTCTGTACATCTGCAGCTGTCATGTGACAAAGAATGAAAGACTCGGACCAGAAGCCCACCTCAGATGGACATGCCTTCCGTTTTCTCCGCCGATGACCCGATCGATGGTTGCAGGCCCTGGTAAAACCACATGAATGATTGTAAATATATCTGAAGCAATGAACAACACAATCTTTGTATCTTCTGTGGGGATAAAGCCTCATCGTTAGGAAAATTAACTTTTTACCACTCCCATGTTGTGTTATTTACAGAATTAATATTTTTACTTATTCTACAGTTAATGAAAAACTTGCCTAGAGAAAAACAAAATCATTCAGAAAACATTGTTCTCAAAACAATGTTTCAATGTTTCTCCATTTTCATACATCAATCTACAACATTAAATATTAGATCAACTTACCTCAGAATTAACTGTGTTTTGTCGCTGATGATTTTATCACACATCATTTTAAACCATCTAGTGGTTTGGAAGAAAACAAATTGTCACAGGTAGCTGTTGTAATGAACGCACAAAGAATGGAGTAGAAGTAGATAATCAAACAGTCTTTAATAATAGATCCAAAATAAACACGAAGGAGTTTTTTAGGAGAAGCAAAATAACCAGGCTACCATAAACGAGAACAGACTAAGAACTGAACAAATCCGGGAGTATATACAGTATACACAGACTGAATGGGGTTAAACAGGCACAGCTGAACAGAATGAGTAAATAATGACTTTGGTAAGGTATGTAACCATGGTTCCCTGAATAGGGAATGAGACGTTGTGTGAACGCCTCTGCGTGATTGCGTCGTGACGCACGTATTAAATCAGTCCAATGGCAAGACGGGACATCATGGGCGGGTGACGTCAGCGACCAGGAAACTATAAATCACACTCAAACCAAACAGGGTTAGCTTCTGATAGACTGAAGCATGTTGATCACGGACGACGCAGCGTCTTGTTACCTTTTCAGGGAACCATGGTTACTTGTAAGTCTCAAATTCTTTTGAGATACGAAATAGCGAGGAAAAAGATTGTTTTTAGAGTGAGAAACTTCTCAGAAACCTCTTCAATAGGCTTGAAGGGAGCCAAGGAAAGGCCTTCCAAAACATGAGAGACCTGAACTTATGAGCAAGGCCCCCTCAGAGGCCAAGCCCACAGTTTCCATAACTCTGGACTGGGGTGAAGGATCGACCCATTCGTCTGAGAAAGAAGGTCCCTCATGGGCCGAATCTCCAGAGGAGAGACACAAGGTCTGAGAAGCATACTCGGGCCGGCCAGAATGTGGATATAAGCAGAAGACGGACCCCGACCTGATGATCTCTCTCCAGAACTCCCGAGAGCAGAGTGATTTAGATACCCCACGATGTATACTACCCTCAGGGAGAACAGTTTCCCTTGGGCTCACAGGAAGATCTGGTGAGCCAGCTTGTACAAGAGGAGCACCAGCATACACCCTTGATGGTTTATGTAAGAGACCACCGATGTGTTGTCTGTACAAACAAGCACATGATGGTCTCTTAGGTCTGGGAGGTCTTTTAGTGCCTGAAACACGGCCAGCATTTCCAGGCAATATATGTGCCATGATGTGTCCAGCCTTGAGCCGAGCTTCACTCATGATTGCCCCCAGCCCGTGAGGGATGCATCCGTCGTTAGCATGACACGATGACAAGGAGCCCCCAGCACAGGTCCTTGGGAAAGATACCAATGATTTTTCCACATGACTAAGGCATAAAGGCATTGCCGCGTGACCTTGATCATATGGAGCAGATTTCCCATTCGGAAAACCCCCATGGCTTGAGCCACCACTTCAAAGGTCTCATGTACAGCAGGCCAAAAGGAATCACATTGGACTCAGCTGCCATCAGCTGAGAGAATCTAAGCGATACGAGCAAGAGACAGACGTGCCTGCATTGTAGCCAAATCCCATATTACGGCTAGAAAAGTGGTCCTCTGAGTTGGAAAAAGCACACTCTTTTGGGCATTCAACCTCAACCCCAACTTCCTCATGTGGGCGAGAACGACATCCAGATGTCGATCCACCAGATGCTCCAATTGAGCTAGAATCAACCAATTGTCGATGTAAATTAGTATGCAAATGCCCTGGAGTTGCAGAGGAGCCAGAGATGTATCCACACACTTCGTGAAAGTCCGAGGTGATAAAGCTAGGCTGAAGGGAAGAACTCGATATTGGTAAGATTCGCCCCCGAAAGCGAACCTCAGAAACTTCCTGTGTTGAGGAAGGATGGATACATGAAAGTATGCGTCCTTTAGATCTATCTTGACAAACTAGTCCTCGAACCTGATTTCTGACACGATTTGCTTCAGAGTAAGCTTCTTGAATTTGAGCTTCACTACAGAGCGATTTAGTTGGCGCAGATCTAGAATCGGACGCAACCCCCCATCCTTTTTTGAAACAATAAAGTACGGCTGTAGAACCCGGGGCATGTTCTATGGCCCCCTTGGCCAGTAGTGCCTTCCATGACCAGACCCTACGGGGCCCACCACTGAGGGTAGGACCCCTCTGAACCGGGGCGGGCGAGACCTGAACTGAATGGTGTAGCCCTTTTCGACTGTCTCCAGGACCCATTGAGATATATTTGGCAGTAGTATCCACTCTGCTAAAAAAAACTACTAAGGCTACCAGTCTCTCGTGACTGACCTCTGGTGTAGCTTGAGCAGCAAGTGCAGTGCCCTGAAGTGGCGAACCGGAAGGGAACAACAGACCTGACTGCTCTAGAGCACTCCGTGGAGGGAGCGACAGGAACATTGGCACATGTGCTCGCTGGGAACCGCTGCACCCGAAGCACACACGGTGGTGGGGTTGGCAAAACGGCCCCCTGAGGGCACGAGGGGAGGCGGGCACTCTATTGGGTGGTGGAAACCGTCTCCCCTGGAGGGGTCTGCCCTCTGAAGCTTGAAACCTTTGCTGTCAGGACTTTTACTTTGAAGAAGCACTCTTGGAAGCAATAACGCCCCTCAGATCCATTTTGCCCTTTGAGGACTTTCTTCTGCGAGCGTTGCGCCGCCTGCCAATCTTTTTGTGGGGGGAGTACTCCTGCTTACCTGAAAGCAGCCGAGGGACACTTTCTGAAACCTTTCGGTGACTGACTTTATAGCGTACCCAAAAAGGCCAGCAGGAGAAAGTGTGGCACGCGAGCCAAGGCGCCCTCCTCAAAGAGTGCCCCATTCAGCCCCCTCAAAGGCTGACTCAGCGCACTGCGCTCCGAAACAAACAACATACAGTACATGTGTATCCCCACCCGTGAAATAACATGGGTAGGGATTAACACACTTCCTGAAATGCTGTTCGCTCACCATTGTTCTGATTTTGTTGTGGTGAAACTAATAAGAACAAGCAAAAGAGAGAAAACGAAACTAAAATAGAACATACATGTTACAGTAATCAAATGTGTGTTTTACTCTGATGTGTGTTTAGTCCTGTTGTACAAAAATTTATTACATGTGTTTTTTTTTTTTTTTACCTTCTGGCCATTAAGCGCTTTCTTTCTCTCTTTCTTCTTATCTCATCTCTCTTACTTCTTATCTATAATGGAAAAAGGATTCAGAGCCAATTGTTAGTATGATTTTAACCATAAATGTAATCCTCAAACAACAGAACGTTATTTAAACATTTAAATATATAACAGTACTGTAAGAGCCAACTCAATATCTAAACAGATTGTAAATTCATTATTGTTTTTTTGCTTCTTGGTTAGTTATTGCAAAATGACTGAGGACATGAAGTCATAATGTTTTGCAGTGAAGCAAAATGTAATTTGGACTTTGATTCTACAATGAGAGCAAAAGTAATTCAGAGAGATCAAATTTGTAACTCACCACTCTTAGTAAAGAATCATGGTTTCTCTCAACTGATGGAACCGCAGAGTTCATTCCTATAGTTAAATCATCATTCAAGTCTGGCACCTGAACGTCTGGCATCTGAACATCTGGCACCTGAACGTCTGGCACCTGAACGTCTGGTATCTGAACGTCTGGCATCTGAACGTCTGGCACCTGAACGTCTGGTATCTGAACGTCTGGCATCTGAACGTCTGGTATCTGAACGTCTGGTACCTGAACGTCTGACATCTGAACGTCTGGTACCTGAACGTCTGGCACCTGAACATCTGGTATCTGAATGTCTGGCATCTGAACGTCTGGCACATGAACGTCTGGCATCTTTACGTCTGGTATCTGAGCGTCTGGCACCTGAACTTCTGGTATCTGAACGTCTGGCATCTGAACGTCTGGCACCTGAACGTCTGGCATCTGAACCTCTGGCATCTGAACATCTGGCATCTGAACGTCTGGCACCTGAACGTCTGGCACCTGAACGTCTGGCACCTGAACGTCTGACACCTGAATGTCTGACACCTGACCGTCTGGTACCTGAACGTCTGGCACCTGAACGTCTGACACCTGAACGTCTGACACCTGAACGTCTGGCACCTGAATATCTGACACCTGAACGTCTGGCACCTGAATGTCTGACACCTGAACGTCTGGCACTTGAACGTCTGGCACCTGAAAAAAAAATTAACATTTGAAAAACATTAGATGAATATTCAACAAAAATGTTTCAGAAAAAAGTATAAATAATGTTGGTAATATTTAAGATTTTACAATAAGATTTTATTAGTTAAAGAGATAGTTCACCCAAAAATGAAAATTAGGTGATTTATTCACCCTGAAGCCATCCTAGGTGTATATGACATTCTTCTTTCAGACGAATACAATCACAGTTATAACTGTGATTGTATTCGTCTGAAAGAAGAATGTCATATACATATGAGCGTCTGGTACCTGAACGTCTGGCACCTGAATGTCTGACACCTGAACGTCTGGCACCTGAATGTCTGCAACCTGAATGTCTGACACATTAAAAAAAAAATGATATGTTGGCTTTAATTAACTTTTTTATGTCAACAGGTTCCACATAACTGGGTTACGTTAAACAAACATAATTTGTTCAAGTAACTTCAACATCATGGAATTAAGTCATTTTAAGCAACCTAATTAAACTCTAAGCAGAGTGTTAAATGAACACTGAAGCTGTGTTAAAGTTAATGAGATAATTAAGTGAATAATTGAGTGATGATTGAGCATTATTGAAGACACCTGATGTTAACAAGCAAAATCAATGAAGGAGAAAACCGGAATTTTAAGTCACCATTATGGTGACCAGTGTTTGTTTTAGTTGGGCTCTTGAACCTCACATCACTAACTTTAGATTATGTTTGGCTGCTGTACATGAGTTATAACAGCCGGATGAACAAATAGAAAAGGTGATTTGATGGTGTTGGTTGTGTTTTAACACAATCATATCACAATCATTTGACCTCAATCACTGAACTCATATAGAACCCAATTTCTGAGTTAAGTTTACCTTATGGATTATAGCAGCACTGCCATTGTAGAGCATAACATTTTTAGCCTTTTCAATGAAATCCACGTAATCTAAAAAAAAAACTTCTAAAAAAATATTTTATGCAGGCACACACAGACATCAAGAATCAGCCTGTGAATCTCAACAATGGTGACAATTATAAAGCATGTTGCAGTGCATTCTGGGTGCCACAAATCAAAACTCATTCATGGCCCCCATCATGCATTGCTGCATGAATAAATAATGAGCTTATGTTCAGAGGTGATCTGTTTGTCACCATTGCTGAGATTCATACGCTAATTCTTGATGTCTGTGTGTGCCTGCATACAATTGTTTTTAGATTTTTTATTATTTTTTATTGATTTGATCATTTGGATTTCATTGAAAAGGCTAAAAATGGTATGCTCTACAATGGTAGTGCTGCTTAAATCCATAAGGTAAACTTAACTATATAAGTTCGGGTCAAATGATTGTGAAATAATGATTATGTTAAAACATAACCAAACACCATCAGATCACCTTTTCTATTTGTTCATCTGGCTGTTATAACTCATGTACAGCAGCCAAACAAAATGTAAAGTTAATGATGTGAGGGTCAAGAGCCCAACTAAAACAAACACTGATCACAATAATGGTGACCTAAAATTCCGGTTTTCTCTTTCAGTGATTCTGCTTGTTTACATCAGGTGTCTTCAATAATGCTCAATCATCACTCAATTATTCACTTAATTATCTCATTAACTTTAACACTGCTTCAGTGTTCATTTAACACTCAGCTCAGAGTTTAATTGGGTCGCTTAAAATTACTTAATTCCATGATGTTGAAGTTACATGAACAAATTATGTTTGTTTAACGTAACCCAGTTATGTGGAACCTGTTTACATAAAAACGTTAATTAAAGCCAACATATCATTTTTTTGAGTGTATATTAAAAAAATGTCCTGGCTCTTCCAAGCTTGATAATGGCAGTGAATGGGTATATTTTTTTGGAAGTCCATCAAAGTGCATCCATCCATGATAAAAGTGCTCTACACGACTATGGGAGGTTAATACAGGCCTTCTGAAGTGAAGCGATGCGTTCGTGTAAGAAATATATCCATATTTAAAACTTTATCGACTAAAATGACTAGCTTTCGGCAGATGGCCATGCGCATCGATTTACTGGAAAGAGTTGCACTTGACCCGATGCATGATGTAATGAATTTTTAAAGAGAAATGTGTGAGGAGCTTGAGTTTGTTGCCCAGCGCTGTTTGTTTGAACCGCGAGAGGCTCAAAGCCTAGCTACTCCTGCATCTATATCATACATCGTCAAGTGTTATTTTTTTGGTGTAAGTTGACTTGCGTAGGCCGTCTGCCAAAAGCTAGTTATTTTAGTCGATAAAGTTTTAAATATGGATATCAAACGCATCGCTTCACTTCAGAAGGCCTTATTTAACCCGCCAGAGCCGTGTGGAGCACTTTTATCATTGATGGATGCACTTTTATGATGATAGATACACTTTTATCATGGATAGATTCACTTTTATCATGGATGGATGTGCTTTGATTGACCTCCAAAAAAATATACCCATTCACTGCCATTATAAAGCTTGGAAGAGCTTTTTTTTATATAACTCTGATTGTATTCGTTTGAAAGAAGAATGTCATATACACCTAGGATGGCTTCAGGGTGAGTAAATATTTACTAATTTTTATTTTTGGGTGAACTATCCCTTTAACATTAGGTAACTTCTTTAGTTGGATTAAGAATGAACAACAATTCTACATCATACTAATACATTGTTAAAATCAAAAGTGTCAGAGTCTGTTCTATCTTTGTATTCATATTTGCTCGTTTTCAGTTGACCCTGTTTTCACATGTTTTTTTTGTTTTTTTTTGGTTCATCTTATTCACCTGGCCCTTGTTAATTAACTCTTGTATAGGTATACCATGTATTTAGTTCTTGTATAGGTACACCCTGTTTTGTTTAGTTCATGGTCCTGTCTCATATGTGTTAGAGTATGTTATTCAGTACTTCAAGTTATCTCCTGTAGGTTTCCTGGGTGGAATCTACAATTAAAGACTATTTTGAATATCTTTGTTATCAGCCACATACTGTGACAGAAGACAGAACCAACAAACAATGGAATGACTGAGCAACAGAAAATGGCAGAAGATCATCTCCTCTCCCTCCGTCAGGATGGTTGTCCTCGGGAATGGTATGTGGAGGAGTTTTTAGAGTTTTTCCACCTATGATTTGGAGCAACACTACTCTCAATGCCTGCTTTCAGATGGGGTTGAGGTAATTGGATAGTAATTGGACTGGATGATGAGGTAATTCGGTTCATGTCTCCTGGTTGTTGTGATTCACCCTTAGCTGATTCCATTAATTTCATCCTTTGGCTAAATGGTTCAACTTTCTACCTTTTACATTCTACCATTTGAATAAACCGTCATTAAAAAAAACGCAAAAATCTCTTCTTACTGTCTAGGTCCGGTCTTCAGACTCACGTGGATAGACTGTACTTTTTTTTACGTAATTTCAGGGGGTTTTCAGGTTAATTTCAGCAGCGAAACAGACACACATAAAACAAAAAAAACTTAACCCGGCCTATCACCGAGTGAAGGGAGTGGATCGGTGACCATCTCCTAAGAGCATTCCTCCATCCCTGGGTGGCCCGCTCAGGAACGCTTTCGCTGTCGCATCCCACCTTACTTGGCAGTGCCTGAAGCGGGCGGGGCGCCCCTTCTGTGACCGGCTCCAAGTTGAGACCTGGGTGGAGGCTGGACACAGCGGTCGCTGGACACAGTTGCATCGCAACAGACCGCTCCACTGGAGAGATAGCCTCGTAACCCTTCACTGCTCCCCATCAAGGGTAGTGAGGGGGGAGGAGCTACTCAGGCGGTTTCTGGCAGAGAAAGGTGCCGTCCATGCCCTTGTCAACTCCTCATGCACTTTAGGAAAGAAAGGTCCCGGAGCGGCGGGCTGATAACCAAACCAGCCCGCTTCGAGATACGGCCTTTTTGAGCATAGATGTCATCTCTGGATCCGGCTCGGGCAATGCTGGTCTCTCGGAGGGAGGCAGCGCAGCCGAATCGTCCTCTCCAGAGCCCAGCTCCCCTTCCGATGCTGCAATGGACATCCTCTGGAGCGGCACTGAATGAAACAGCTGGTCGATCCACCACAGAAGGACCAGCACGCTCATCTGGGAACTCCACCGGCTGCGGTGTCAGAGAGAAGTGAGGGATCCACTGGGCTTTGCCGGGCAGATTACCCGTCACTGTAATCCTCAGGTCACCCAGCCCAGAAAGCACTCCAGACTCGTTCTGGAAAGGTAACCCAGAAGAAACACCAGGCGATGCCTGGGTATGGGGACTCCACCCTCACAAACGAACACGAGTCTCGACCTTAACACCGAGGTGGTAATATTCCCGCAATGGGAACATGACTCATCCACAAGAGCTGCCTCAGAGTGCTTTAAACCCAGACACGTGATGCAGCTCTCATGACCATCAGAGGGGGACAGAGCCAACCACACCCAGAAACTCACGGATCGAATGGCATCTTGAAAAAGATGCAAACACATCCATGTTGCCCTTCTAGAAATGGGACCCGTCACCAGTGCCGGAGCACACAGGGAATGACCACGGCAACACTAAATCAGCGAACTGAAATAGTGAAGCACTCACTTTTCCGCCCTCACCCGGCTGGCAACACACACAAACACAGAAATCTGCTTGCAGTAAAAACAGCAGTTGAGAGCTTCAAAGCGCTGCACTGCACTGTAGAACACCATTACCGGGAGAGTCTTCCCAGAAGAACACCGACACACTCCCTCGTTGTAAAAAACAGCACTCTTCAGAGACACCAGAACGATCGGCTCCGAAGCGAAAGACAACTAGTGCGCGCATCCACTTCCATATTTATACCCGCTGTGGGGGTGGAGTGTGTGATGCGTTTCACACACGCTAATGTGCATTGGCTCGTTTTAACAGTACTTGAAGATGACAGACTCACTGATGCGATCCCGATCAGTCGACACGTTGACTACGTCGAGGGTGAGCGACTGAAAGGGAACTAAACATTCTTAAATCAAGATACATTTACTGGAGAAGCAAAATGACTGAAGATATTCAGTCATAATTTGTTTGCAGTGAACTAAAAGGCAATTTGGACTTTGATTCCACACTGGTTACGTTTGCATGCAACCACATAATCCATTAGTAATCGTATTAGCTGCGTTTACATGGACCCTTATAATCGGATTGACAGCTCAATCGGACTAAAAAACCCTCATGTAAACACGTTAATCGATCTGATTGAGCTTGATCCGAGAAAATTCTGATTTCACTCAGCGTCTGTGAAGTGGACCAGGACAACGTCCCACCAGTCCATGTTTCAGACTCTCATCCACAGACGAGTGTGGTGTGGTGTTTTACTGTATGATCAATATAAGCAGCGGCAAAGCAGTTCATATGCTCATTGTCTCCAAATCATGACCAGAGACGGATACATATTAAGTCTGCTGTTTAAAACAAATAAAGAACCAATAAAGGAGAATAGTTATGCGCGAACAACAGCAGTATATTCTTGCAGTGTGTGGATGTGAAAAAATCAATTCCGATTTGAAGTTTGTGGCGCATAAACACATTAACCCGATCATGTTTAGCGTTCATTTAAAGACTACATTCAGATTCATCAATCAGAATGAATTCAGTCCAACTGAAACAAAAGTCGTGCATGTAAACTAGCAAGAGAAATTCAGAGAGATTGTAACTCACCGCTCTCAGTGAAGAATCACAGTTTCTCTCAAATGATGGAACCCCAAAGTCCATTTCTACAGTTGAATCGTCATTCATAGTCGGTTGTTTGTTCATCTATAATGGAAACAAGGAATTAGAAAAGGACAAATTAGTAGTTTAAGTATGCAGTTTAAACATCAAGCACTGTAATATAAACTGAATCAATCAGATCAGAAAACTTACCATATAATTTTTTTAGCAGTTCAAACCTCCCGGGGCAGGAGCCACCAAGACACTACTTTCTCTTAGATGGAGAGACTCTGTATGTCGGCCTACAGTTCAGTCACTCCACCAGTAGACCTGTATGCCAGATTAACTCCTGCCCCGAGATCTTTTTTGTAATAAAATTCGCTTTTCTTAAAGCAAGTGGTTTGACGTATCATGCAAAGTGAAAAGCTGGCAAATGCTTTTCCTTTCTGCTCATTTATAGTCTGATAGAGCCCAACCCTTTGAGGATATGACGGTGCAAATCATGACGCATAACAATGTTGTTCATCTCGATGCCTTCAGGTACTGAACAATGCCAAGAGTGAGAGATCAAATTACATAAGTGTCTGATTTCACAACCCTGATCAGCATCTGCTTTATTCAGACTTATTCACCAGTTCACTTTCTTCTGAACACACACCAATGACATTTCCTCAGCTAACAAACATACTGCATGTTCTAATCACATTTTTCTAATGTTCCCATTAAGTTATGAAAATGTCATTTCTAAATGTTTTCTCCAGTTTTTAAAAAAATGTTTTAAAGAACATCCAACTAAAACGTTTTAGAAAAGAAACGCTCCATGATCGATGTATAAATGTTTTTGTGCTAATGTTTTGAGAACATTATTAAAGACCAGATAACTTTGACAGAATGTTCTATTAATGTGTAAGAATGTTAGTTCATAACTTTAATAACGTTCCCTGTTCTCTGGGTCCAAACTAAAACAGTTCATATCCAATGATGCTATTAATGTCATCTTACATGCTAATAAATGAACAGTTTCTCAGTTTCAGTATTTGTGTTCTTGTGTTTCTGTTTCCTATAAAGTGAAACTTACACACACACTTCTACACCAACTCTGATGTCAGTCATAGAAAAGTTCAACAAGGTCTAATTTGTTGAAAAGTGATCAGCAAATTATTTATAATAGTTATACCACAATATATAACACTGCCCGAGTTGAGAATTATAATAGAGCAAAAGACATAAATCTGATCAAGTTCTAGTTCAAATCTGATAATTATGAATCAGATTATGTTTTATCCATTTGAAAATGGATTTTAGTGTAATTGTTAACAAAAATCCTTTTTGTTTCCTATACAGTGAAACTGACACTCCCATTTTCCTAAACATGTTGCAATGATGATGGGGTTTTATATTCCTCAGGAACAGCACATCTCTCCTCAACACACAGGGTGTGACTTTATAGGAAACAGAAACCCATCAGATATGAGTGAACACACACATTAACACTCTTGTGATGGGCATTTACTGCAATAATACTGTACTCCTGTCTACTCTGATATACTCTATAGTCAAACATATCTGACTGATGATCATGATGATGATGATGATGATGATGATGATGGAAAGAATCTGTGGTTTACATGGTCATAGTCTGCTGATATAAGAGACTAGTTTGGGGATTAAACGCTTTCAATCCTTTTAACATTTTAACCCTGTAATGATATAAAAGTAACGATCACCAGGGAGAGTGCCCGGGATAACTATCAGAGCCAATCACAACACATCCACAGACTACATTTCCCATAATCCTCTGCCCACACTAATCAGCCATGATCACCTTCACCTGTGTCTCAGTACCTTATTTAGCTCACCCCATATAAGCCTGGCTTTCACATTCATTCTCTGCGAAGTCTTGTTTAGTGTTTCTACTGTATTTCCGAGCATTCTCTCTGTTCTTTCAGTGTTCTTGGTTTTTGGTCTTTAAAGAGTTAAATACCTATACATGTAAAAACAACATCCCATGAAGACATAACCAATAAAATATCAATATAACAATATAAATAATCTACCCCTTATGAGGCTTTGCTACAACTTGATAAAAGAGAGTAAATGATCAATGAGACTCAGACGGACTGTAGGAGATTGACAGGTTTATCAGTGAAGTCTTGATCATTTAGAGAAATTCATGTATTGAATATAATACAGTATCTTTATAGGGTTATTATAGGGTTACGAACAGGTGAAGATGAGTGGTAGTGAAGGTAATGGATAGATTACTGGTGCTTGAGGAGAGGAATAGAGAGATCGCTGGATAGCAGGTTAGGTTGTATAGGTGTAGGTCTGAACATCTACAAACGAGACCAGACAATGTGACTGTGGGTGACGAGTGCTTTAGTACAGGCTGTGATGAAGGTCTGATGACGTGCAGGTGTGTGGTGATTAACACTCAGGTGACAGTGATCTCTGTGATCGTGTGGTGATTAATACTCAGGTGACAGTGATCTCTGTGATCGTGTGGTGATGGAACCTGGGTGATCTCTGAAATCTGAATTATGTTAAATTTCCTAAATTTCCCTCGGGATAAATAAAGTATTAATCAATCAATCAATCAATCTCTGACAACAGCACTGTAATAAATAGGGCTGGTTATTGTAGTAGTTTTAGTAAGATTAAATATTATTACATCATACTCTCAGAAAGAGGCCAGTGCCACACACTAATGTTCACTTCAGGTTATATCTGTGAGGTGCTGATATGCAGTAAAGGTGTTTAACACTGGAATCAAATGAAAGAATGAGCAAACATATGAAGGAACACTTTTTATAAGTGTTTGAAAATGGGACATGGTGTAAGTGCTAGAAGTTAAAGTAAAATAGCAAAACCGTGCCCTTATATATATATATATATATAAAATATGTGTGTTTGTGTGTGTTTGTGTGTGTGTGTGTGTGTGTGTGTGTGTGTGTGTGTGTGTGTGTGTGTGTGTGTGTGTGTGTTTTTGTGTGTGTGTTTCGAGTATCATATTTCATACATCAGGTATGAATGTTTATTTAATAGATCAGGTTTGTATAGCTTATTTATGCAATTCAATGACAATTGACAGATTAAAAGCAACTAAAAGCCTGTCAAATTTGTGATTTACATTAATATAAAAATGACAGTAAATAAATAAACATTAATATATGATGTATAATAATTAATGAATACTTTATATATACAAACATTAAAATCAACAGTAAAAATGCAAGAAATGAATGTATGATAATTAACATTAATATAGAATTGAATTAACATTGATTAATCAAGTATAATAATTAATGTATAATATATATAAAAACATTCAAATAAGCAATAAAAATGTAAAAACAAATAATAATGAGGTATAATAATTAACATGAATATGAACATGAATAAATTATGTAATAATTTAATTTAATTCATATATAGGCCTACAAACATTAAAAATATAAAAAATAGAATAAAAGTCATATTTTTTTTATTATTATAAAATTGTATTATTTGTGACCTTATAAGATGGAAAATAAGTCTAAAAATCAACTTTGACCTCTTCCAGCACCCTTACCCTAAGTGCCCAATTAGATGCGCATACTAAAAAAACGTGTTTTTTCAGTGTTTTTCAGTGTATTTTCAGGTGTTCATGAGCTTTTGCCTGTTTTTAAGTATGATTGTGGATTACCGTTTCATTAAAGCTGCATTTGGATCCTCAACCTTCGTGTCTCAGATCGCTTCGTTACGGATCTCCCAGTCACGTGACCCCTAGCCGCGTGTCAGCCATTTTGACGGAATACATCCGTCAGCTACTCAGTGGCAGGGGTGGGCCTCCCAACAGATCCATTGCCGTGGGTAATATATATTATTAGTATATTAGTATATTGCACTTATTATTAGCATCACAAAAAGAAATATACAAGAGGAAGATAAAGGAATTAGGAATCATATATCCATATGAAGCACCACAAGTTCTTTTTACAGGCATTAAATGTGTAGAAAAACTTCCTGATATTGAGTTCGGTGACATTACAGCCTTATTCACTTCCATCACGCTACACCGGAGCTTCATTACAAGCAAACAAAAGCTTAGCAGGCTATCGGTATCACGAGTCCGGATGGGTCAGCAACGCTTTGATTTGGACGCCAGCGGAAAAGGATTTTTAAATCATCAACGCAAAGGTTGGTCAATGTATTTTTATCACCAAATTATAGCAGCCTATCTGCAATGATTTTTAAACTGAGTTTACAGGGAAAAACACAAGACAAAATCACCAACAAGATTAAGTGTATATTAAATGAATTTGTTGAATCTAGTTTGATCCAAGAAAAACAAAATAATATGCTTATATACTTTTTTATCCTTGTAACTATATCATACTACAGTGTCACTGTATATGATAAACTGTCATTGAGACTGTTAACTGTTTTTCTAACGATTTATAAGAAGTGTCAAATAAAATACAAGATCAGGAATCATGATAGGAATATTTCACGGCGATCTGTATTATCCCCGGCGGTTTAGCATTTTCTATTCCGTCAAGATGGCTGCTCCACGCGGGACGTCCCTATAAGTGATTCGATTTTACATTCAACAGAAACAGCTTCAGCTATTTATTTGCGTTAAACATTTCATGACAAAGTGAACGTAACATTCACGGACATTATTCAACATTCAGACATTATTAATACATTTAGTCGCTTTTATCCTGGTGTAATCTGTAAATCAGTTCTGTCATTCTGTAGTTTGGTGTGTTTCTCTGTTCTCCTGCTGCATTGAGAGTGCTGGTGATTTAATCAGACATTAAAACAGTTTAATCTTCAGATTGGTGTCTGTGTCTGAATCACTGTAAACCGAATCGCCAAACACACAATGTTGTGAAGGTCTCAGACTACAGCACTCGAGACCAAGCACGATATCGCATCACTACATTCTCATTGTGTGTCGTCTGATTTATTTCTTAACATTAATGTGTATGGATGTATTTCCAATTTGATTTATTTTGTTACTGTTGTGCAACATGGGCTTGTGTGAAAGATGTCATGCCTAAACATGCCTAAACATGCCTAAACATGTCACGTCAGTCGTAAACCCAAATGTAA